ATGCTCACTCGCTCACACGTTACTTTATTAAGTTGTAGAATAAAACAAAAACAGTCTCTCTTCTTTTGCTCAAACATCACATGCACCAACTACTTTTTATTCAACTTCATTTATTTGTGTGAATAAAGCTCATTCATGAAGTCAGTCACTTCACACAGTTCTGTCCCCTCCAGGAGTGTCTCTCATTGAAGTGCCGCTGAAATGCATCTTCTGAAAATTGCTGAACAAACAACGTACATTTTCTGCCCGTGTCACATCTGCAGGAGTAATTATTGGCAGCTAAGTTATGCTGATGGTTTCCCGGGCTAGGGTGGACCTCTCAGTGAGCTCAGTGGGAATTATGATCCAGTAAATGATTCAGTAAAATATCAGAAAGCTGTGGAAAGTGTGCAGCTTATTTGAAGATATTCAGTTTAATATGATGTAAGAGGACAAGCAGGTAATTCTTACATTTACATTTTCTTGACTTGGATGATGGAGCAAATGAAATAAATACATCCTGATTAATCACTTCGCAGAGTGGCTTCACGCCAGATCTGTAGTTTTCTCTGTGGTCATGTCTGTCTGACCTGGCCCCCGACTCTTCTCTGTATAAATCACAGATCCAGGATCATACTTCACAGGCCTCGAGCCAAAGTGTCTGCCGTCCTGCTCCACATTTCCAGGCCAGAAACGCATCATCAACCATATTTGTAAAAAAGGCAACATTAGCGACACTTAGCAGTGAGGGGGCCGAGCGCAGAAAACAGACAGTTTGGCACATTGTAGTTTTTACTACACGACAACTTTTACACTAACACAATGGAACTGAATTATTTATCCTGCAGCTCCAAACATAAACCTCTAAGAGTTTTGTGCATTGAAACGCAGGAATTATTTTAGGATGTGCAAACACACATTTGAGTATTTGATATATATGATGCTGCGGAGAATGTTAAATCTGTGAGATATGGTGTGTGTGGGTGTGCGTGTGTTTTTAGGTCCATTCAGGCTCAACAGCAGCTCAGAGTGATGAGAGTGACTCTGAAACAAATCAGAGTGCGTGTAAACCGCTGGCAATAATTCCTTTCTTCAAGATATTGTTGCCAAAATACTGTTGCAGCTCGATCGCACTTAAAGTGGTGGTAAAAGGAAGCACCACCAACGGCATTTAAAACTGCATTTATGATTTTCATTGAAGAACAGTCATTTTATTTAGTTTTCAACACATGTAAAGTGTTCAGTATCACTTTAAGAAGTGATTTAAAGCTGGTGACCATCCTGCATAAGGAGGCTTGTGGCCTCCTGCAGAAGCCACAGGTTCGGTTCCGACCACTTGCTGCATCTCTTCTTCCATTCCTCTCAGTATGAAGGCCTGTGATTTTAAAATGCCAAATATAAGGTGATAGAAAGTGTAGCATCAACTTTGAGACAAGGCGACATACAGTAAATATGTGTGTGTGTGCAGAGCCACCGTCTCACCATCGCCGGCCGACCACAGCTGTAATTGGGAGTTGTTTGCAGCCAGCTGGCTCACAGATCGCTTGCTGGGCTGGAGGAGTTTGCTGCAGGAGAGATGAGCTGTCGAAGTGTGGAGAGCGAGACTAGTGTCACGTCCACATAGTTGGTGAGATGGTGACGGCTACTTCCTGAACAAAAGACCAGGGTCACAGTAGAGAGGGTTAATGTGTCAACCTGCCTGTGCTTGTTTTATTTCTATGGCCAGTCTGAGTGTGTGAGTGCAGATGTATATCTCCCTCTCTCCCTGTCTTCTGCTCTCGCTCTCCCTTTTCCCCTCTTCCCACCCTCCTCCCGGCTCCCTACAGGCTGAGCAGGATAGATCTGACTAAAGTGCTGCCAGTCACAACAGCAGATGCTCATGTTTCCTCTGCTCTCCCGAGCCTCCCCACACATCAGTAAGATGGCAGGTGTGTGTGTGTCTGTGTGTGTGTGTGCGTGTGTCTGTGTGTGTGTGTCTGTGTGTGTGTGTATGCGTGTGTGTGTACTGGCAGGCCTGGATGCTCTAATCAGATTGCCAGGAACGTGTGTCTCAATAGGAAGCATGTATTTACGGCACATCTCTGTGTGTTGCCTACTAAATGTAAAGTCAGACGAGCTGCAGTAAATCACTATTCTGTGTCTTCACATCACATAAACATCAGGGAAACTTTTGTTCTCTTTGTTTGTGTGTGAGTGAAACATTTTTACTTTCAGTCTCTTATTCATTCTTCATATTTGTAGAAGATGATCCAGCTGTAAACATGTTACGTTGTTGATCTCCTATAAGCCACATAATTACTTTTTCAGACTGACAGACTGTTTGAATGTTGTGTTCAGTATGAACAACAACAACAACAACACAGTGGTTTGTGTTTTATTAGTTAAACAGATTGAGTCTGTTTTTTATTCTAACGCAGAAGAAAATCTTCATATTTTAAGACAAATTCTACAGAAATGCATAATTTTCAGGTGGATGGATGTGTACGTGTGCGTGTGTGTGTACGTGTGCGTGTGTGTTTTTGTGTGTGTGTGTGTCCCTGTTGCTCACACACAAACTGAACCTGCTGATTCTTTATTGCCAGAGAGTCTCAGACCTACACAGCAGCAAACACCAGATTCTCCTCATTATCAGCACCTCAATATGCTCTCATTAGTCATCGCTGCTGCTTGCTGACATCATAACATTTAATGCCAGCTCATTAGCAAGTATTTTCACAGTACTTATTTATCCTAATTACTTCCAGCCCCGTTTGCATTTGTGTTGTATTTGGACTTATTAGCTGACGTGTGTTTTCACATGACACCTCCGTGTGTAATCATTATTATCCCGTGGGCCCATGGGAGTTCTATTTGGATGTGGTTATCATCAGTGGTGAGATGTAACAAAAGCACATTTACTTAATAACTTGAGTACATTTTTCATGTCACGCACTTGATTCGATTTATTTTCAGGTACTTCTCACTCTTACTCCACTACACATATCTGTAATTTTCAAAGTAATCAATAACGAGGGGAATTGGTTCATTTACCAAATCAGGCATTAATTACCATTCGACTCCGCCTCCTGCAGCAGCATCACTGATGAAATACTTGAGATGAATTCAGAAGAGGCTGAGCAATGGAAAACTACTTTGAGTATATTTGAAAGCAAGTACTTAGGGTTTGGGTTAGGGCTACTCATGTGCACCACTGGTTACAATGGAAATATATCAGCACGTATCTGTGAAAATGATGATGATCTTCGCTGAGTGCTTTAGTTCTGCCTTCGTAAACCTCCCGTTCTTCTGATGCTGCTTTGAGCTTCCAGAGTAAATTAACATTGATGGTTTGTAACCACAGGATCAGATGACGAGTTTATTAAGATTGATTGAAACACACACACCCCAATTTTTCTTTGCACCAATGATGACCTGACTGGAAACTGAAAGTATATTCCCATTAAATTTGTGCAGCTGGGTGAAACTACACAACATCTGCAAAGGCTTTCAACACCATCGTGGCTTGAAGCTTCCCTCCGCACAGACACACAGCTCGGTCCCACCAACGCAAAATCTCCACCCTAACGAGACACACCTGAGGCTGCCGAGGACGTAACCGTGTTGCAGACCACATGCGTGTCAGCCCGCCAACCCCCACCTCCCACCACCCAGCATGCATTTCGGGTGGCCTGGTGGTGTTACGGGTCCAACGTGTGATCTGAAGCTAGATCTGAGGGAGAGGAAGATTTCATTATCTAGACGCTGCCTCTGTGCCCATTGATTATAGAGTGAGGGTTTCACTTTTTAAAAGAAAGAGGAACAGAGGGATAACCATCAGCTTCGTTTCTGCAGAAATATCCAGTTTATTCACTATTATATGTTTGGAGCCATATTGGGACACGGGTCAAGAAAGAACCCTTTAAAATGTTGGTTGCATGGATCCTGACAAATGGGCGGATTCAGGAATATTTTTATCACTTTCTTTAACTTTGGAATGATTCATGGATCCTGAATTTAAAAATCTGACATATTCAGGGAACTGGATTCTATGAGTGTATGCAGCTTGATTTAATTTAAGGGGACTGTTATGCAGAGGTTTGCACACAACTTCTGTAATGTATTGACCACCAGACTTTTATCTCTATGTGCATCTTATTATGAGGCCACAGTAATATCAATAGAAATATCGACTTCGTGTCATGTTTAAAAATCTGATTTTGCACCAAACCCTATCACTGATCAGACTTTGTTCTACTTCTTGTGACGGTCTTATTAATTCAATAATTTATTATTTCAGCCCCCTCCTCTTCTCCTCCCATAAATGAATTTACTCCTGCGCTGCCATCAAATCTCCTCTCTGTCTGACTTGGAGCCCTTTGTGCCGCACACACGGGCAGGAAGCGCTGGGTTTGATATTGGAGATTTCCCAGGGGAAATTAATAGTACTGTGCATATCTGGACCAGGTACAGATTAAAAGCTGGGCCCATTATAAACCCATTAACCTAGTCATTAAGACCAGATCTGGGAAAAGATGGAATAGGGCTTTGCTAATTTTAGTGTCACAGCATTGGTACTAATTCACACCAGCTAGAGTGGAGAGGAAATTAGGTATTTTCCCTTAAATGCACTGTTCCTGCATCAGCAGCTTCACATGTAACTCTGATATTTAATCATTCATATTTGCTCAATTTTAAACGGCGTGTATTTACATTTCTATTCTATCACACATCACTCACATAGGCTAATGCCGGCAATTTGGGTTCGGTATCTTATTCATTCACAACGACACTTGTGGAATGGAGAACTCAGGGATCAAAATTTTGACTGTCTGGGCAGTGGTCGACCCGCTCTACCTCCTGAGCCGCAGCCGCCCACAAGATGCTGCACGTAACTCAGAGATCAGTGGAGTTAGAAATCTTCAGAGCGAATGTTGGGGTCAATGCTGTTATTATGATGATCAGAGTTGTATGACCGTAAAGTTTTTACAGGAATGTTACACATGGACTAACATACTCTCCCCCCCTCTCTTTTTTCCTCTCAGCGGTTGGCAACGGAAGCGGAGAAGTTTCAGAAGGAGCACAAGTGGCAGGAGGACAGCGAGGTGAGTGAGCGAGGCCGGAGCCCCGGTCTGATCCTTCTATTAACACCGGCCGCAGGTCCACACAGATCAACTGGTGCCATGAACTCCGTTAGAGGAGCGAGGGGAGGGACGTGGTATTCATGCTCCGATATGATTCTAATAATCCAACAGCAAGTCTCATTATAATGACAATCACCCTGTAATGACTTCATGCAAGATTGAATTTCATTATTTTACATAATTGGCAGAAACAACCAGGCATGATGATGAACATGCACACGGCTCACTCGCTGACATTCTCCATTTACCATAGTATTAAGAATGCATTAGAAGAGTACAGCAAACAATATGAACACACATTTATTTTACTCGTTCAGTTACTTTGCCTGATTGCAGCCTCCTCTGGGAATCGCAGCGAGAAAAGCCTCGTGCTTTCTGGAGCCATTTACGAAATGATAAATGATATATATGTACGTTCTCTGATGGAAGAACTTGAAAGAAATTCAACTTCTCCATTTAGCCTATTAGCTTGGGAAAAAAAAGGAAAAGTCCTCAGTGTTATTTGCCAAATCTTAATGATTCTTTTCCATTAGAAGTTCTCCATTATTCAACATCTTGAGCTGAGAAACCAGGGAAAGAAATATTCTCTCTGAAGACAGATTCATTTATCTGCTGTATCAGTCGCGGAGTTTCATATTTTAAATTCTTTGGTTAATTTTATTCCTGAACCAATTAAACATCTCTCTTGAATTGAAATTAGGCTTAGATGTGCAGTGATGGGATGTAACAAAGTACATTTACTTCATTACTGTACTTAGGTAGATTTATTTTCAGGTGCTTTTCACTTTTTTCCACATTTTTATGATGCATTGCGTTCACATTGTTTTTAGACATTTTTAAAAGTAATAGCGTAGTAGAAGTAGAAAAGTGAATACTTTTACTTGCATATTTTTGTGTTTTTATTTGTACATTCACAAACATTTTCAGTTCAGACCATAGTAGATTCCATTTTCGTGCGTGCGAACAGACGTCACCTTTGATAACTGGGCCAGTTCTGCTGGGCACCTCTCCCTGCTGACTTTAAACACATAAGAAGCTGTGACTGCTGCAATAGAGCCACACGCTTACATGTGTCAGTGCATCATTATTGTTACTATTTATAAAAGAACGGATACTTCAACACTCCCCAACAGCCGAGCGTGTCGGAGACGAGTGCAAGCGTCAGTTCTACGAGAACTGTAACAAGTTCAAGAGGAAACCTTTTGCCAAAATGGTTCCAAAAACTGTTGGGAGTTGTCGACGTTGGAGTCAGCGAAGAGCAGAGACTTGATGAATCAAATGTGGACATGAACTGTAGTTAACACCATTAAAAAAGCATCTTCTTATCCACACACACACACATATACACACACATCCATTTGGCAGTAAACATCACACCCACCACAACCTACCTCATAACTCATAGCATTTATTTTTCTCTCCCTTCATCTCTTCCTCCATCTCTCACACATTCAGTGTTCTTGCACACAGTCGCCTCCCCCGAGGGGTGTGAGGGTGTGATCGTCACCTCTTAAGGTGCACATCGTCTTGCGGTAACTTGACCTGACAGAGAGCATCATGGGACGGTCTCCTGTTATCAGTTGCTTTACATTTGCTTGTGTCATATCGGCATATGTGCCCCACACCTGGACAAGTAGTTGAACGCATTTCCTGCTCCGTCACAGAAACAGGGAGCATATGCCAGCGTTTGGAAGCAGTTTACTCAGCTTCATCTCTCATTGTGAGCTAATCACACACGGTTTAAGCGGAGGTAACGGTGGCGGTGGCGGGGGGAGTTCTGGGCTCCGGAGGTGGGAGGCAGGTGCTGGGAGTCATTGAAACCGGCTCTGTGGCTCAAGGGCATCCTTATGTCAGCAGAGAGGCTAGCTCGTTAGCGCCCCGGCTGGCCTGTGTACTGACAGGAGGCCCAGGAGTGTGAGAGCAAAACATCAACACTTGTTTTCACTGATCATCAGCGTCAAACTCTGACAAACCGCTGCGCTGTGAGGAAATACAGCAAGATTCAAATCCACGACTGACGGATGAAACTTTGAGAAAACCTCTGTTCTGTTGGATGTGTGGAACTATGTGAGGCTTTTTGTCTTTTAGCTGGAAGTCTTTATTTTTACTGGAACTTCTCACCTTTCTACAGGGAAGATAGCATAAGATAATCCTTGATCAGTCCAGTTATTGAGAAACAGCAAAATAAAGTTTAAAAAACAAGAAATTTCACTAACAGCAGGTGGCGATCAAGACGCTTTGCCTTCACATTTGTGGCGCAGTCATGTCGTCCATCTTTATATACAGTCTATGTTCCGAGGTGTGTCAGGATATCGTGACATCACTGTCTGCTAGTTACGGCAGTGTGTTCAGAAGTAAGACACGTAAAACCTTTAACCAGAGCGAGAATGTGCAACACAAGTTTTTTGTCATTTTCTTGGTTTTAAATGTTTCTTCAAATGATTTCAGTTTTCTCAGTTTAGTCACTCATTGTTTTCTCTCTCAACATCCTTGCAGGTCGACAAGCTTGTTTACTACAACTCCAAAGATGACGTAAGTAAAACTAACTAAATTTGAGTATATATGTGTATTATTGTTTTTTTTTTTATCCATACTGTAATTAGTTACATTTCTGTGTATAAATTGCAGTATTTTTCTGCAGTGCATGTTTTGGGCCCCTCACTCAGGAGGAGCTAGTATGCGTGAGACACTAAGAGCATGTCCCCTGGCCTCAGACGTCATCTGTCTGCTCTGATAAACAGGGATCAGCATCTAATTCCTCTCCACTGTCCCGGTGGGAAAGAGCCACACACCCACAGCACACTAATGTCACTATGCATTTGACTGACAGGCTCCGTTTCCCCCTCATCCGTCTGTCTCTGTCTGTGGACGCCTCGGTTTCTGTTTCACTGCCCAAATTTTTGATTCAGTTGCGCAGTCTTTATCTGTCAGTGGTGACATTTCAGTGGATGCTCGACACTGACACCTTGTCATTCGCAGTAACCGGGGATCTGTGTATACGGTGTGTTAGCAATCTGAGGGTGGACTCACATGCACAGACCCCTCTTAAGCAAAGAAAAAAAACTTTCCAGGACGGTTTCAGCTTCAAAATTACAACTTCTGTTACTTTTCTGCAGCTAAATCAGACGGAGAAGAAGAACCGCTATGTTCCAGATGATTTCCAAGTCGACCCCGACTTCAAGCGCCTCGTCTCTTACAACACCACCGCTGTCCACATCCCTACGGATATATACGAGGGCTGTAAGTTGAAACACATCTATATATCCCTCTATTATAAATAGTATTACATAGCAGCCACCTCCACCCACCCTGCTCCCTGTCTCATATTATCGCTGTCATCGCTATGTTCAGTATCTACTGTACGTTCCCGTGATGTGGAGCTCAGCCTTCCAGCGCTGTCTGTGGTGTGGACAGTTCCACACCGAGGCCGTTCTGGTCTATTTATAGCACAGATACCAACAACCCAATGGCCAGATCACTCGAGCCCTCTCTTTACCCTGGTCACCAGCTGCTCCTTTCCCTCCCGTTCATCGCTGACCTGCTCGGGACAGTTGCAGAGAATGTCAGCGCCTGATAGGCCTTTTTCTTTTCAAATGTTCTTTATGTGAGGTTTTTCTCTGTAATTTTGGTCACAGCTTCTGTTTTACAGCTTGGTTCAATATTTTGACATCATTCTTTTCATCTTATAAACATTGTGCTGCAGCAGGATTACGCAAATACTACAGAACGGCTTTCTAAGAAACATGGTGGAAGGATGGGACATGAAATGTTGGTACGGATTAGACCAAATGAGTGGATCCAGGATTTTTTTATCACCTTTTTCAGGATTGAAATTAATGGATCTTATGAAGGCATATTTATGGAACTGATATCTATGAGTGTGTGTGATGTGGTGCAGCTTGATTGGATGTAAGGGGACTGAGGGCCTGAGTGGAGATGCTCCACTGAGTGCCTCCCTGGTCCGTTGGTTGGTCGGTTGGTTTGTCCGCAGGATTACGAACTACTGAACCGATTTCCACAAAACTAGGTGTCAGAATGGGACACCTAGTTTTGTGGAATATCAGTGGATCCAGGAATGTTTTAATATGGAAAGATAGACCATTAGCCTTGGCTGTGGTTTGTGTTCTCTGTTCCCCCTTCGCAAATGTTAATATGCTAACACATGCTGCATACAGAAATAGAAGGCGTATTCATGCGCCTCTTTCATCGGTTTTCTATCTGCTTCCCCTTATGTGGTGTAATTACACTTCTCTCACATTAGGCAGATCTAAAGTTAGAGCTATATCTTCACAGGGACAACTGTGGACCCCTCCCTTCTGGAGCCTTTCCCAGCATGCACTGGACATAACACAGGGAAAGCACATCGGAGAGGTCACGACTCACACTGGATTCAGCTCGCTGTAATGAAATCTGGTATCATAAAGAGTTCTATTAGTGAACGTGGCAGATTTGAGTCATCAACAGCCACATAATTGGACTCTTCACCTTTATGACTTAACAATGCCAAATGCAAAACAGATATAACTGTGGGATTGATGGTGGGAGGGTAATGGCTTTTGCATGACTTTGTAACTTAGGACAACACTGATACCAGAATAAATGAAAGGAAAAGAAAAGGTTATTTTTAGAGTAACATGACAATCGTGGGTTTTTCACTGTAAGATTTGAACATGTTTGAAGTGTTGTACGAATGTATTAGTTTGTGAATAGGCTCTGTTCAATTCTTTGGTATTGGTGTCACGTTTTAAAAACAGTAATAAGTGAAACAAGCCTCACCAGATGATATACATGGATGGCTGACTGTGTACACAAGGAGCAGAACATAATTACCCATATACACGTGCACTAACACACAGACATACTCCCTCAGGGTTATAAGCCTCTTATTCTAGGACACTGAGGAGCACGGTGCACGGCATGAAAGGATGCAGTCATGTCTTGATACACACTCGCTTAAAACACGCAGCGCAGGTCATGTCCTTCCATGCACACACACACACACACACACACACACACACTTAGGAATCGTTGATAAGTTTTATTTTCAGTATCGGCATCAGCCATCAAACATCCATATCACTCCGGCTGTGGTAAAATGCTTTGTTCAAATAGTTTAAATGATCATTCCACGTGTGACCTTTTTATTTGACTCCTCGTAAACGAAGCAGCCATCAGAGTTTCCTTCGTACGCAGACACACAGCATCAGATATTAACCTCCTCGGCTTTGATGGAGCATCCGATATCAATCTCTCTAATGTCCGTGACAGTGGCTCTGCTTAATGCAGTGGACTCGGTCACGTGACTCTAATGCCTCGATACAGTGAGTGAGTCAGTGCACAGAGGTCCGACTCTAGATGTGCAGAGTGACAGGACGTTCCTCTCGTTGCCAAATGCACTCAGTTATTTTTACAAGCAACAGTTATAATGAAAGGAAGATGGGGACGTTACCACTGTTCATCAGTGTCTACCTCTCATTTTCTCTGACCACATATGTTCTTTCTTTCTTTCTTTTGTTAGTTTGGTTGTTGTGTCTGTAGTCCTCTCCATCATTCTGTCTGTAGTTCTTACCTTCTGTCATACTGTCTCAATCATATTAAGTTAGCTTTCTAATATTGTGGAGAACGGGGTGTTAAATAATCCACAGCCAATTGCTCTCTTACTAAAGTGGGTGGGGTCTGAGTGAAGCTGTGCTGTTGCCCCCCCCCCCCCCCCCC